CATTATTCAGTCAGGTGTCTCACAAACGGTACACCTTATGTCATGTCAAATTCTAAGGTATCAGAGTATCTTCTACAGTACCTTCTAAAGGATGCTTCTTCAGCATGCCAGTACTTACTTGCACTTTTTATAGACTTGGGTAGATCGTATGCCATTCAAACGCATCTATTCCATCAGACACTGCCGCAGAACCCTTGGCCTGATGTTTTTACCCCATCTGATCGTTCTGCTTAATACCATGGTCTTTTGATGAAAACTACTCACAAGGTTGCTGAATACCCTTCGAGAGCGCACGACAGGTCTCGCCCATCTTGGAGCTCAGCCAGCAGGTGTACTCCCAACGTATCTCTCGGCCTTACGTCCCACGTGAAACCAAAATGAACGGAATTCGTGACTTGCACTCATTTGCACGCCAGTTTGGCTTTCATGAGAGACACCTGAACACCAGCTAAATCTCTCGTTTGTGGTAGTTTTCAACTGAATGTAATGCGCAAAAGGTGCAACTGAAACGTGAAATGGTCTTTGTGCAGCACATTCAGCTGCAGATTACCACAGAGGAGGGCTTCAGATGATGTTCAGCCGTGTCTCCCTTGAGGACAGAACTGGTGTGCATATGAGAGTATTTAATAAATGTATGTAAGCGCCTGTGCTCTTCAACCGGCTATGCAACTTACGCATAGACCAAATCAAGGCAGCCATATTTAGACTGGGTGTTTTCCTGGGTACAATGATTGTTAAATAAAGGTCCCTGTAGTCTTCGAGTACTGCTCATATTTACCGATTGGTACGCTGTTTATTACTTGGTTTTCTAGCACGATTACCTTGATACATACCCAAAAAGAGTAAGTTGCTTCCTTGGTGTGGCAATGCCTGCGAAGTTGATAGAATTTCTCTTGAAGCATACTACCTGTTTCATCGTTCGAGTAGTACTTAACTAGGCATATTTCCATCAGTCCTGTGGCTTGTTTGTTTAGGAATGATGGCGTGGAATCAGCCATGGTTTCCAGCTCCACGAGGCCGAGATCGCATTCACTTGAGACAAAAGTCTCGGAAGACAACTCTGAGGAATAAAGTGAGTAAAACGGTGAGGCGTAGCATAAACCTCTATCTATTTTGAAATGAACACTCTCAGGACGTCTTTGTTGGGTAAACGTTTACCTGGTCAAAGGTTATGACTTGAAATAGTCCTGGCTCCACTGGGACTGAAATGGAAACAAGCAGTGATTGAGGAAAAATTGGCAGTTGCCAGAGAGAAGCAATGGAGCAAACGAAGTGGCAACTTGAACAAATATGGTGAAAAAGGTTCTTCTTAGTTTGGACCTATGACCTCGAAGGCTGATGTTGTGGGAAAAACCGACGTGCGTCCTAAAATGAAAAAGACCGTAGGTGTATGTACAGGCACCCTCGGATATTGTGATATCTCAGAGATTATACCTGAGAAGAGGGAGTCTTTAGGGATAAGAAATTTTCTGGCATACCGTACGTGTCGCATACTGGCAAAGGGCACACAGACTGTAATATTATATCGAACGGCTGAAATAATTGAATAAAAGACGGTGCAGCTCGATTGATCTAGCCTCAGAAGAATTTTACGGAAGTTTGGTCAGCCTGATCCCCGTCTCAGACGGTTAAGGGACCATAATAGAAGAAAAAAGATCAAAGGTACCCCAAACCATCAATTCTTTGTATGGGGTAGGCGCTGGAGCGGGAACTCTTTAGTTTCCTACTGACTTGAAGACCAAGTGCGAGAGTCGGTCTATCGATCTATGGGTTCCGACTGTCAGTTGTAGTTCAGGAGAAGCGGAAGTCGATGGCCTGTCATAACGCCTGTCATATAACCGACTCATATGCTTGGGTAGCCAGTGTAAGGTAATGATTTACGTTAGGGAGGAAATATGGCACAGAATGCATTAACAGAAGGAGGGAGCAGTCTTGATATTTGGGGAACTCCGCTGAAGGTATGCGAGTGAGGCGAATATCCAACACCTGCATACGAGCGCTGGCTAATGCCGAAATCAAAAAGCTATTTAGACATTGACATTCCATTCACAGATGCTACCGTGCGTGGGCTATGAGCTTGTGTGGAATTCTGTAGAAGGATCAGCGAGCTCAAGGAAAATGATCTGGGTAGGTGTTGTTTTCAACGGCTGGGGCCATAGCAGGGTGTGAGATGGTTGGATGTAATAATGGACGGGAAGCGGAGATCACCATGTCCAGCCGAGCCGAAGGGGTTATTGATGGTGATGTAATTAAGCAGAGGTCTTTTCGACAAAACACCAAGCTGCTTACAAGATCGGTGAAAACTCGACAGGACATTGCTTGCTTTGTCCTCTTTGGAGCTCGCCAAGTAGGCGTAGTCCTCGAGTTCTTTCGAATATCAAGTACAGATTCTTTTCATTCATCTTTACTAACCTTCCGGACCGTAAATGGGTTTAATAGAGCAGCGGTTGTAGGTTACAGCCACTTCAGGAAAAGCGAATAAGTGCAGCCCATTGGAGGTGGGGAACGCTATGGAAGAATGTGGAGGAAAACTAGCGGATATGGTACCGGCATCTTCTTCGGGAACTTTCGGGTGAGGAAACATTCGGATCGCTACGAAAGAAATCACTGATATGGAATACGCTTGTTTCAAGGCCAGGGATGTCTGTGGTTCAGAAAGTAGGAAGTAGGCGGTGTTATCTCTGGGGTTAATACTGATACGCAGACATTTGCAGATGGTTGTACCACGTCTTGTGATCTGCATGCAAGCAAACTTTTGGTAAAAAATATTCTGTAGTTATGGTGGTGATGATTTTGGCTTCCGGTAGAACAGCAGGTGCCGGAAAAGCAGGTTTGTAGAGGCCAGCGAGCGGGCTATTACTCTCTGTAACATTTTATTACAACAGCAGTTTCCACCCGGCGGCCGACAGAGGCTTCGATTTTCCTATCCGGTACACGAAAAATGTGCCTTGTCAAAAGAGGACCTAAAAGTTTTACAGGGGTTTAAGAAGAACCTGTATACAGACAGGGGTTTCGATACTGTAATTCTAGATAAGGTGGATCACATGTACGGCAGTTTGGGTCGACTCGTCCAACTTTCGTCCATTAAAACTACTGGACATAGTATGAGTAGTAGCGAAGGAATTTATTCATTAGCTGCAGATTCTTTTTTTCACAAGGTTTTTTATCTCTCTAAATGGCTGGACCTGTCGGTTCTCATGTACTATATAAACTCAATGTGCCCATCCATCTAAGAAATACTCAACCCGATCATTCGTTAGCCAAATAACTGGTACACATACTGAGAACTGCAGGATAGCATTTAATAGATATTGTGAGAAGGACGAACTTCTGGCCTAGCTAGAATGCAGTGGTGTTTCTTCGGAAATGTTGCGCTCGATTCACTCGCGGTCACTTGTGCCCGTGTCCCTATTATTGAAATCAAATCTTGTTCAGTGATTATATGAAACCTCAACTAGATGCCGTCTCCGTTCGCAAAATCTCTATTTCACTGTATACAAGGAAACCAGTACTTTGCTCCTATCACTATGGGTCCTTTGAAGCCAGAACTGAGTAACCGGTCGAAGCTAATATAAGACAAGAATTGTGTGTATTTATATCATATTATATTATTATTATATTTATGTTGACGGACTGGACACCCATTCCCTTTTTATATCACCGTTTACCAGAAAGTTCCATTCTCCTGCAAATTTGAATAAGGTGACAAACTTCCGTTTGTGGACGCGTTAATTGACAGAGATACCGAGAGTACAATGTCGCACCCCATGCGTTGGAAACCTGCATAGAATGAACGACACATGAATTCAGTCTAGTAAAGCATTCACGTGCGTAAGAATTTACAGTAGTCCATAGAGCTGGACAGCGTCGGATGTGCTCTCGGAGGAGATTAAATGGCTGACACCTCCATCGAAAAGTTTCGCACCTGATTGGTCAAAAGAACCAGTCACATTAGCGAAAAGGTGCACTCATATTGATATTCTTTATATTAGTAGTCATGCTCTTAGCGTATCCCTTCACCGGACTTACAATTCAACACAGCTGTTTTCGGAGGCATATACACACGGAACCATGCCACTGCTGCCAGATGAACTTGTAATGTCAGTAATCTTGCATTAGTCAAGTCAGCTGCAGAAGTTGTGAACTGGAGAAGGGGCAAAAGTGAACGTACCGAAAAACCTTCGTATTATGTCAACTGACTCTCGCCAGTTCCACGGTCAAATCTTGGGTGCTCAGACATCAACAAGTTGACGGCAAATCATAGTTCCACGTGTCAACTCACGAAGAGACTGAAGCTCCTTGAGCCCACGTAGCTTAACCCTTTTAAGCGTATCATCTGAGCTCAGAAACAGCTGAGAGTTATTTGTTGGTTGCTTTGGTTTTTGTTGGCTGTCTCAAACTTTAATTGGTGGTGTGAAAAGTTGCTGAAGGGTTTTCAGCAACCTCACGAGTAGTGTGGTCCAACAAGTAAATTGCAATTTTCTATATCTCCCATACGACTTGACAAATGGAACAGAGAACAGGCGAAAAGAAATCAGTGCATACCTTCGCTGTTCAGAGTACAAATTTTGAAGTATTGGAAAGCAAAGCAAAAAATACGCACATGGTGCTGGCCAGAAGAGCCGAAAGTGTCAGTGGATTATTTGGAACAAGGAAAATTCAGGAAGCTTACGTTGGCGTTTACAGAAACCCGAAGACCATCAAAATGCTTTATGGCTCTCGGGCAGCAGCCTATGGCTGTTACGTTATCAAGTGGTAACGCGAAAAATCGTACTGAACATTATGGGGCCGATTGATTATAGTGAGAGTGACAAGACCATCGTCACACACTTAAGCAATGACCGGTTAGCCCCTCCGAATCTTTGTGTAAATTGCTTCCAATGAGTTTGATGTAGTACACAATCAACTATTCTCTCGCGCCACTATCAACCGATTTCCCCGACCGAGAAACCCCTGATTGTTTCCGGTGAAACAAAAAGGACGCGTCACATCGAACAGGCCAATTATATTTTGCAAACCAAACGAACGTATTGAACTGGGGAAAGGATTTTACTATACAAATTGCAAAAAAATAACCGCCCGATGCCAGGGTAGAAAAAATATGGAAAAAAAGCGTAATATAGTGTAGTTCAGATGCTGATCGACTGAAGGCTGTTGTGTTTTCTAATAGGAAGGGGAATAGGTTCATGCAATTGGTCCGATAAACGTGGCAACCCTTGAGGAAGATTCTGGTTCACATGTCTAAGATGACAACCTTCTCACAGCATGCAGAGTTTGGTGAGATTGGAGGAGATGAACTATACGATGGACTCCGGCGATACTAAAGATGTGAGGGGAAAGAGGAACAAGAATAATGCATTTAACAGGCAGTAAACTGATCGACACAAAGAAAACAGTTACTGGGTCGACGTTCTACCCCTTGGACAAGCTAATAATATCGATTAAGGGCGAAAACGTTCGGTTGTTCAGACGTGATAATTCAGGCGTGACTAGCATGCGCTGGGGTAGAATATAGAAACTTCACGGTACACTAGGCGTGAGTGTTGATACTGACAGAAAACTTGGAGTTACGCGTCATGGAATCTAACCTTCCCAAAGCGGAATAACCACTTATATATTCTTCTGGATGGCAGACATACAAGGCCAATACGGTCGAGACAGATGCGACAGTGATTGTTTAGGGCTTAGCTTGTCACGCCTGTTGTGTTACTTTTTGGAGGGAAGTTTGTTTCGTTAAGTCAGTGCCATAATCCCGTATTCACCCCCAACAAGACCTGCTTCGGTTGTGCTGTATGACTGGAAGATATCGATGACATCCACCAACTGGTCTTCCTCCGCCGATCTCATACATCTGAGCTAACACAGAACGACACGGTAGAGTCTCCCATGACGATGGGTGGATGTAAGTGCTCCTCGGCCCTCCGTTTAGCTACTTCAGCCTTGTGCTTTAGGTTGCAGTAATGAGGGTACCGTGTAGTGAGCGGGCAGTGCGAACTTCCTTCGAGGTTTGTGTCAGTCTAACCATGTCTGCACGTCGATGTTGGTACTACAGGGCGAGGTCCCAAGCTGCACCAATAAATAGCCTTGCCGTTTTTGTCGTAAGCAGTCTGAGAGAAATCGTGTAACTATCCATTCTTCCCATGTGTCTGATATACAAAGGGCCTCGTTAGAATTTCCTGAAGACTTGTTTATCCTCTGGTTAACTTCTGCACAACCTGAGTCGTCTCCGAGCACACAGACGAGCCAGTAGCTATGCTGAAACTAATCTGAATTTGTCTGATTCAAACATAATATTCGCCAGAACTAGAACAACAAAATTCTCACCGGCATGTGCCTCCTACTATGCACCTGAAGAAAGCCACACTCTTCCTAGGAATTTCACTAAGTGCTCGCTGGGACAGGGCACTGAAGCTGTCTGAGGAAAAGATGCGTCTAACACGGTTCCGTTTGGTTTTTTTACTGAGAAATTAGCGTGTGAAATGCAGTGTTGCATCAAACGAATTGGCCTTGCCCGCAATTCGATGTACTCTATAGCATGTGCAATCCGGAAATGTGAGTTCGATGGGCAGGAGGAATCCGGTCGTCCGTAATTGCTCCAAGGAAGTGGTGCTCCAAATTGCACTGTGGGGCTTATCTAATGGAACTGTCGACAACCATACCAACAGTTTTCGAATAGTTAGTTACTCGTTACTGTTACCCATTCTCAGTAGATAAAGCCGTAGTTTTGAACGCAGAGTGAAACGTACACGAAAATTGGTTTCAAACCTGACTAGGCTGTACTGCTCTTGGAAGTACCTCTGCTTATTGGAGCTAGTCTCTCGTGATGCAAGCTCTCTCGAGTGGTATCACTGCATACGAAATTTCGCCTCCTATTCGCACTGTCCTACTCGAGCTGTCCCAACAAATAAGTAGGCAAACAACAAGCGTATGTCCAAATAAGGCAAGAGTCAACAGTAAAGTTCTTCCATTTTGTAGCTACCACCAGTATCCCTTCGAGATGGGAGGTAATATACGAATTCACATAAATACAGCATGCATAGGGACGTCAAGGTGTCACAAAATACGTCAGTAAACTATTGGGATAATCCAAACGCAGTTTCTTAAAACCTGGAATAAAGGACCAAGTAGATATAGCATAAATGTTAAGCACTTCCGAAGCTTCGCGTAAAAACAACGATGTACATGGACCCAGAAGGTGTTAGCCTGTGCCAGTAGTGGAAACTAGGCAAAGCCACGACTAAGAGCAGCAATGAAACGATGAACGGAAGTAAATGAGACGAAACAGCTGAACACGAAAACAGGCTGTAAACTGAGAACTCAGTGAGAATCGCCTAGCCGCAAGGAGCTCGCACGAACACGGGAGCAGCCGCTTAACGCTTATAATAATTTATCTATTTTCTCCACTACTAATAGGCAGCGGTAGTTTAGACAGGACCAGAAGGTACTGGTCCGACAAACAACTGTCGTATACGTTCTCTGTCCGATCATTCCGTCAACGATCAACTGGCAAATGAATGGCCAGGTTTATTGTCATTCCATCAACTGATTAGTCATCTAAAATGTTTATCCATAATCTTCACAAATTCTGCATCAGGGCTTTCAGATAACGGCGGAGACGGATGGTCATACGCCGTACATTTACAACGCCTCCACCTTGGTGGAGACAATTTCAGTTCATTTCACATAAAAGCGGATCGGTGAAAACTTCAGTCAGCTTAGGACTTGATGAACGCGAATCATACACCAACAACATCCGACGAATGGTCGACGGTGTAAATGGGTTAGAAACACTGAAGAAAGGAGAAAAGGCACAGCACTCCACACAGAATGTACCTACCGATTTCATGTAGATTCCTGTGAGAGATTAAGGTGGTAAAAGGCAGGGTCGATGATCAGAAACCGCCTAATTCAGACGCGCAACAGAATCAATAAAGAGTGAAGAAGCTGATTAGACAGGAAGGAAAGATGGTTCATCTGATCTGTCCATAACGAGGAAAGCTTGGCATACCAGTTCAATTCACCAGGTGTGTCTGGTTTTCAAAGGACAAGGCCAATTATGGAACCTAAAATGAACATGCAACAAGAAGAGGAGGATGATCATCTCAACGGTTATCCAGATCACAGCGCTCCTCGGTCAAAGGAGGCAGAATGGGTGCTTTCCTAGATCCGTCGTCAAGGGCAGCACGGCACCACGTGATTGATAATAGTTAGATAGCGAGGATTGATCCCTGGGTTACCATCGACCTCTGAGGATAGATATCTGGAATCATTGCTTCATTGGAGATTAGAACCCAAACTTGAGTCAGAACCAGAAAGGACTAGAAAAACTGACGTTGCAACTGTGCAGTTACATACCTAAACAACCAGGAAATGGGTGAATTTATCGTCAGTATTCCAAGAAAAACATGCTGCCATACAAGACCCAGAAGAACTGGCAGACGCGCTCCTGTACCTCTAAACAGATATACCCATTTGCAGAAACCGCTCCTTTCAGACAACTGACCCATTGTTTGATTTCCCCATGACATATCCATCCTACGACGGCTAAGAAAGCATAGATTTCTAAATTCGCCGATTGCTCTGCCCTGTTTTCCTTTTCCTTTGGAAAATAGATGATAGCCATGTCTGTGCTCCGGAGTGTTACTTCATGGGGGATAAATTGTATCCTGTCCGAAATATACTCATTTGCAAAAAAATTCGGTTTCGCGAGAGACTCATCTGGAGCCCAGCTGAATCTCTCCTTTGTGATGTTTCCAGGCAATTGAATGTGCTGCAACAGGCCGCCTCATGTTTCAGTCGCTACGATATTCGAGATATCGCGATACATGCATATTCGTAATGCACTACTCATAAGGTTGCTGAAAGTTCGTCGACAGCCCATGACCGGTTTCGCCCTTCTTGGGACTCATCATCCTGTCCGCTTCACAGTGCCAAAAGTCAAATCACAAAATCCGTCCGCTTAAAGATGTTTCTTAGGTGAGGGGTTATTATCGCGAGAGAATGATGTAGAAAAATTGGGAACCACCAGAGCTGCTTCCATCTTTCAGGTGTATCTTAGACGAGGATTCTTAAAAAGTGGGAGTACTGTACTCAGACAGCGGAAGACGAGTACTGATACAGCATGCTGCCTTGGTTAGCTGAGCGGACTTCCGTCTAGCAGTTCAGGGGAACCAGTGTCGAATACCATGGTGTGGATGCATTGCATCTTAACCATTTGGTCACGAATTCGTGCAGAGGACTCTGTTAAATCGTGTCTTAAGTTGGTTATGTTTTAAACCGAATTCATCTAAGCACTGAAATTCACGTGAACTTACTGGATGACGTCCGATGCTTGTGTGGGTCACACCGTTGGCCTCATCATAACCCTTGTCTCGCTCCAAGTAGCTACTTAGTACCTCTTCCGGGAGAAGTAAAGTTTCCGCTAATGCACCGTTTCCCACAGAAGGATGGAAGCAGAAATTCGATTGCGCTCCTGACACTGAGGCGACAAGCTGGTTCCGAGAGAAATTATCCAACAGACTGGAAGTCTGATCTGAGGAACTGTTTGGTCGAGCGGTAAAATAATGGGTGGGGTAAAATGCAGATGAGGTAAAGGCGTGATTCAAATTAACGGACAGCGCTGTGGCAACGCTCTCCGGCACACTCATAGAGCTTCCGATGTTCTGTCTAGTACCGGCGTTTCGTACGGGGACTGATTGAGGTTTTGCAGGAAGGGATGGATGTCCGGAGGAAATCGTGGATCCTGGAGATGCTGAAGCTTGTTGTACTAGTGCGTACGTCCCAATGAGTTCTGCTGGATAAGCATAGCCTAGTGAGCTCCGCAAGTCTGCTGGGTGTTCGTTGCTCTGATTTGAAGTATATAAGTGGTTGTTTGACGGAGCACTGAATCTTGACGCATAGTCCACCTCATAGGATCCAGCTGAACTTGTGTTTACCGCTGTCCCTGGAAGTATGGATCCCCTGTGGGTGGTAGGCGCGGCAGAAAACATGTCACTGATCAAATGTGACTGCTGTGTGAATCCCATGGAGTTTCGATGTCCAAGATGTTGTGGGTGAGAAAGATGATGATGCTGCTGACCAAGATCGGTAGAAATGCCGGAATCGCTTGACAACGGACCGACCGCACAAGCCTGGGAAAATTCTTGTCCCGGATTCACAGATTCGTCCAAAGAACCAAGTCCAAGTCCCACGGCTCCATCGGAATTCGGCTGGGAGTCAGTGGAGTCCCTGCTGTGATGGTATGGCCCCTGATTCTGGACAAAGCGTTCTCGTCTGAACACGCATCAGGGAAAACAAAATGAAATCCAAAATCAAGAAACACTTTCTAGTAAAAACACACTAAAAATAACCAACGTGGTGAACTCTTCACATGATCTGCAAAAATCCTTGAGAATTTCCCCCTTCCATTCAATAAACACATACTGGCCACCTAAAAATCATGCATTTAGATTTGATCTGCATTATACTTTAGTTGAAAGAATATTCTAGAAACCGAAGTTCTCACACGGTGGCGTCATCATGCTTTCACAGCCGTCTAACTGTCTCATTTCAGACTACTCACAATGAGCGTCCTACCGATCCTCATAACCACAGACTGAACTAACAGCAGTTGGGCACAGATGGACAAACAGAAAACACAATGAGTGATCTTTTGCTTCTACGAATAAAGAGTGTACCGTGTTGACGATATATTACTTTGTGCAGACTGTCGGAAGGCGCAGTACGGAACGGAAAGGTACAGTTAAATAAAGAGAATTTGTACGCTAAATATACATCAACGAACCTTGTATCTCTCAATCTGGCCCCTCTTTTAGCGATCACAAAAAAACCCTATCCGTCCGGCGAATTTCGACGAAACAATAGCGAGGAACTCCACCGAACAAGAGATTGCCAACACGAGGGGAAACTCATAACTAGCCATCAAAAAAGAACAGTTGAACCCGAAGTTATCGATCAGTACTTCGCAGTCCGATGGCTCAGAACGGGTTCATATGCACCTGAAACTGAACAGTTCTTGTCAAGGGTGTGGGGGCCTATGTGTATGCACTATTTCAAGGGCTGGTGACTGACATGGCAAAGATGAGAGTGAACGCTTGGTTCTTAGTTCCAGAAAATTGAGACAAATTGGGTCCTAGAGGTCAAATTTCACATGATAAGTCGCCGCCCGCATTATTTTAAAAACCCCGTGTTTGATAGAAGACGGGTAAACGCCTCTCAGGCGTGCCTTCAGACAATCCGCTTAAGAAATAACGCACGGGACCCAATCTATAACCCATGAGTTGGATCGGGCCTTCGATTTTGGGTTGTACGGTGACAGCGGTCAATGCTATCCGAGTAGTTCCAGACAAAACGTGTGGTGTCACTTGCTAACAAGGTAGGCCAGAAGTGAAACCTGTCTTATGATAGTTTGAATACACTTCTGTCATTCCCAGTGCTTCTGTGAAACACTCGTTCTTCCCAGTTCTATCCCCTCCACGCAGACTTCCATTCCCTTAACGGTCATCATCCTCTTAGTTATCGTCTACTGATGATATTTCTACGACGATTGTTTGTTTCAGCGAAATTCCTTACTGAGGGACACTCAGAAGAAGAGTCAAAGTGTTCCCAGATGGGGGTTGTCTTTCACGGGGGTCGTAGAAAGCCCCTCATTTCTGAAGCTATCTTTCGGTCTGTCTGCATCAAGCCAAATTCGCACGACGAGAAGCCAATTTCTCAGATGACAAAGCCGAGGACATTCGCTTTGTAGCATGCTGTTTGATCTTTTGTTCAGGATAATCCGGTAGATTGTTTCACCACAAGTATACGAATGCTGCTTCGTTTTTCTGGACACCCGCCGCATTCTCGTACTGCGCGAGATTGTAAACCCGTTACAAAGCATAATTTACTCGAGATGTGCCACATCAAAAACTTATAGTTTGTAATGCTCCGAATTTCTCGCTGTTTCCAGCGGTTCGTTAGACACAGATGGTAAAGCGATCACACCTAAAATGTAGCTCTGTGAAGTATAGAGCTATCAAAACATGAGAAGAATGATCAAGAACACCGAGCAGCTAACAGCAGAGTAAACTGATATCACTAGACTGTTTTTAACAATTAAAATGCTCCATTTTACTAGAATAAGGACTCCTTTCTTAGAATTCCGTGGTCCTTAAATTGTTTTCATCGGGGATTTCCCGGTTGTTTGAACGGAATTCGATTCACACGAGGGGGGGGGTCTTTAAACGGAGTACTTTTATAAGGTAACTGTAGGCGTGCGCCATCGACAGACCTGATAGCCAGCCGAACTCCTCTGCGTTGTCGACGTCTGCATCGCTTGTTACTTCCTTTTTCAGCTCCCCATTGTACACGAGCGCATCCTAAGTAGTGTGGCGAAACTGTTCTCTTGATTCTAGAATCACGGTCATTCACTAATTTACTATGATTCCAACAAGTTCACATCTTTTTCCCGGTGACAGTAACCTGTGGACTGAAAGAACCCATTGGCAGACAGCACACAACTAGTCTCGTGTACACACTATCCCAAGTCACTTTGGTACAAAACCTGTCATGCCCAGTCTTTGTCAGGCGGTGTTCAAAATTGCTACTTTTCACGGTGCTTCGAGTCACTTTGAAGCGAGAGGGAAATATCACTTATCTTGATATCTCACCAAACGTATGGTTATCCAGCATAGAATTCTGTCTGGTGACTGATTTTGTTTTTATATAGTAGTTTAAATGTGCAACTACTTCATTTTAACTACTGAAGAGGCGTTAACTGAAAGATTTTCTACTTCAGACGCAAACCATATTCGAATCTGATTCTTGTTGAATAAAAAAATAACCGGGTAGCTCTTTACACTAATTTCACGCGATGACTGTCCCGATACTCGCTACTCAGCACGACATGAGTCAAGAACTGTCCTAATCTGTATTCCGTAACCCTGAAGTCAGCAGCAATCAATTTAAATTCAGTCAAAGAGAGAGTCAGCTACAAATGACCTAACTATGTTCCCCCATATCTGTCGAACTTGATGAGCATACACTGGTGGGAAGGACATCGATAAGCTAAAGCTTCCCACCGTCCATCCACGATGACTTCAAGCTCTTGACCGTCAAGCATTCATAAGAGTCCCATCTAATTGTTCAAAATAATGCGCTTTTACATCGCTTGAGACTAAGTGGTTGTATATCAAAACTATCAATTCAAACTACTCTAGATGGCGTCCGAAAACTTGTAAACGATTTAGCCAAGTGGAAAACAGTCTACACTTTCCAGTTTTCCACAAATTTATCTGTCCATTCGATCGTCTCTGTGGCTGGTTTACTAAACAACTCAAATCTTAGTTTCATATCTCTCACTCGTCCGAGAATGATAGTGGAAACTTCTTCCACCTCTCCCTCTCATGAATGCACATGTGACAATCTGACAATGCCATCTCTTCTTTGCTTACACCGTCTAGGACCAACTCTTTTACTCCGCTGAGGTCTCTCACTAGTTGATCCTCCAAGCTAATAGCCGGAGAGTTATTCTGTGTGAAAGTGTCACACGGGGAAAGACGCACAGGTCACCATATCCTTCGTCCACTCCGCTTCACTTGCCGTGATTCGCATTTGAACCAGTCCGTCTCCTATCCGGGCGCAAAGAGGGAGAGTACTGGACACGAGTGTCGCTCTGATCAGAACTTATCAGCAGTGCTTTATTCTGGCTATGCTGAGGCGTTGAATCTCGGCTATCTGACATGCGTATTACTGCTGATGTGCACTAAATCAACCCGAATTGTCGAGTCTGAAGGGGCGAATATGTTCACGCCTAAGCGAAGGGATCGGTCTGATCGAAAGACCTCGAAAGACCATCCCATAGCTGCCTTGGTTGTGTCGACCGTCTGATCGGTCCAACGGCACTTCTGACTCCGGTAGCTCCATGGACACTTGAGCTTAAATCCTGCTGGACCAGCTTGATTGGAAACCCATAAGAATGACTGCTTCGGGACAGAGATGTGAATGCAAACTCTACAAACCCTACAACCACCTACAACAGTCCGTATTGGTTGGGGGCGAGATAACCCAAGTGGTTAGATTGCGAATCTACTGACCGGAAGGTCCGTGGTTCGAACCCGACCTCTGCTTCTCGAGTTCCCCTTTCTAGGCTTGGGAAACCTGGCAGTATCCCAGCCCTCGTGCTTCCCTCGGGTGGCATGGCAGCTAAGCACCGAAGGGGCGTTACAGCTGAACAGTTTTTTAGTTTTTTTATTGGTTGTATTTGTAATCGACCGTAAACTTGGATCCATATGGACAAAGCCCAATTCCTGTTGGCTGTTGTGCACAAGTTCCCCTGTTCTTAGGATGCTCGAGGGACTGGATAATTTTATACCGCCGATACGCTGGCATTGAGGCAAATTTATTGCTGCAGCTTGCTTTTTCTTCAAGTGAGGTCGTGAGTTTTGATTACTGCAATAGTGAATTTGGTAGATGAATTTGGTATATATATATATATATACGAATTTGATATATGTCTGGGCCGTAATAGGAAACTAGCTTATGTTAGCCCCAGAATGCGTTGCTGAAAACTCTTCGACAACCCGCGACAGGTTTCGCTCTTCCTGAGGCTCATCAGCTAGTCCCAGCCCTCCAGTTTCCCGCAACTTTATGTTCTACCTGAAACAGCTGAAATCCAGATGGGTCTCCTCTTGGGACTAAATTGGTGTGCAAATGAGGTGGATGAAAAAGCCTAAGCAACCAAGGTGAGCTCGACTTCGTTGGAAATCAGAAAAACTCATATCCTCAGCAACAATGTCAAGACCTGTGAAAACGTGATATAATGGTTATTTGGGTTGGGGGTAGCTATGAATACCCTTCTGTTAGTGAAATAGCTGGCTGAGTTACGACAGACGCAGTCGGATCGGCCAGCTGGTTTGAGTTGTCTGCGCTCATAAATGTCGTGATGGTAGATCTGAGATACTTAACACAGCCTGAGAAGAGGTGCTCCCAGACATATCCGTGGGATGTCATCACCGAGGTAGAAAAATGAACTATGCTCTGTCCCCATATAGTGACCAATCCCAGACCGCCTGTGCTGCTCGCCAACGACAGTCTATAATAACGGGGATGACCGTGGCGGAGTTGTCAGCTTTTCGATTAGTTAGTAGCATAATGCATATCATATGAGAGTATTACAGGATCATTAAATTTTGATGAAACGGTGACTCACAATACATGAGCAAGCTGCATTTCTGCTACAAGTAATTGCTGTAGTGCACTGTCCACACTTGCTCGACCATTCACCGGACTTGAGTAGACATCGTCAGAATCGTTTGCTGGAAGCGTTGTCTCCTTGTCCGCATCCACTTCCGGCTTTATGGCCGTTTGATCTGTCGGTCCGGTGCTGATCAGTCCACCATTCTTTTTGTCCATGATATTGTTGGCTGATGTGTACAGCCAGGTGCGTAGCAAGCCTAGCCGCACACCGGACAGCGTCTCTATACCTCCAGGTAGGCCTGTGGGAACCAGAAGCAGATGGTAAGATCTACCGTTGTAGTTGATCACTGTCTGACCAACCTCAGCATCCCCATACTGGTCAGCACTGTGTCTAACTTCGAACCCATCATCCACGTTACTGCCGTGAATGTGGGATTCTGTTGTAGGTGAACCCCATCGACTGGCGGGATGTCGAGCGGATTTGGCTGTGGATGTTGTGAAGTCGATACTGTGTGAACGGCCTTTCTTCCCGCTTCGATCAGTGCGATCTGCAAAGGACATGAAGACTAGAAAAGTAACTCAGCGAACGTTTGATGTATCCGGTCGTATGCACTAGAGAGGCGGTCGGGATGCCTCTGCTTTGCGTACAAAATAGTACTCTCAACAGCGCCCCATCACACCACCATCACGGGAAAAAGCGAATCTGGACTTTGAAGGGGCCGATATCAGATCGTGAATGATGGAAACATGAGTGGTCTCCCTTTTAAATAATACCGTATTCGCTTGGGTTTAAAGTGTAAGATTTCGTGTAGTTGGGGGTCATAAATATGAACCCCACCTCACAGATTCGACTAGCCATGTTACTCTAAAGTCCATCTGCCCCGTCGTATGGACGGAGGATGTGAAACGTATCGGTCTTCGATGTTGGTCAACGAACCAGAAACTACTTGGTAGCTCCCGGTCAATCAAGGCTCGTGTTTTATCCACAGCAAGTCTCACACACGAATTAGGAGAATGCATACATTTCCTCTTTGTTAGAGAGTCTGTTTCCCCACTCGACAGGGACCAGAATATCTGATTAGGCGGGAAGAGTAATCTGGCATCAAAAACTGTGAGAAACTTTTCAACTGAGCTGTTTAATCGAATGTAGTAAATTGCAGAGAACTTCCCGTCATATCGACCGGTCTTCCTACATTGCCAGGCAATCTGTTTTGACGAGACTTTATGGCGATCGATGAGGCGAGGTTTCATTATCTCATCACAGATTACCATGCAAGTAATACTAAATAAACATGTGATTCAGTCAAATCTGTCAGATTCGGATATGCCACAGTCTGTCACTATCAAATCACACGCTTCAGTCATGGGAAAAATTATCGCATAGGTTAATTAAAAGCACTGAAATTAGTCTCATGAAAGCCACGGAAGGGCTCCAGTTCATTCCAACTAATGGTGGAGAAAAATAGTTTGAGCATGTGTTTCAAAGCAGGTGTGTTTTCTAAAACAATAGTGATCAAATTATGACCATGCGTATGAACGCTTCGAAAGTCGTTGTTGTAACAGCTTTGTGAAATTCAAGCTGTGAACCTTAACGGCACAGATTATCACATTGAGATAAAGATGGAAGTTTTCATAAAGGAAACTACTCACAAGGTTGCTGAAAACTCTTCAACTGTTTTCGAGAAATACGCTCATTTGTAAATCAATTTGGTTTTCACGAGAGACTCAACTGAATCTCTCACTTATGATATTCTACAACTGAATGTGCTGCACACAGGTTGAGTAGTTTGCTCTATGAAAATATACTGCGATATTTCGAATATCGGGCCAACTGATGAACCATGAGGCGGCCTGTGTGCAGCACATTCAGTTGTAGAATATCATAAGTGAGAGATTCAGTTGAGTCTCTCGTGAAAACGACCAAATTGATTTGCGATTGAGTGTATTTCTCGAGAGACAGAAGTTGTTTTGCGTGAACTTGTAAAAGTTTTTCAAAGCTGTTTTTAGCTCTGTTAGAAGCGCCAGAAGGGCAGTCATGTTGTACAGTCAGTTTCCCAAATCGTTTGGTCTTGTTTAGAGCTGTCATGAAGAGTACTGTGCCATATCGTTCAGCTGTAGCACCGTTTCAGTGCCTAGCTGCCATGCCACACGAAGGAGGCACGAGGGCAGGGATACTGCCAGGTTGCCCAAGCCTAGACAGGGAAGTCGAGAGGCAGAGGTCGGGGTCGAACCACGGACCATCCGATCAGTAAATTCGCGCTCTAACCGCTTGAGTAGATGTTGGGTTTAGTTTCAAGGTTAACCGTTGTAGCTGTGGTCTGCTCATACAGAAGCAATGCGGCATAAGCTGGTAATTCCTATCCACTTTCCCAATTGATTACTTGTGTCCTACGGTGATGGCAAGACTCTCGTAAGTTCACCGCTTAGTCCATGACCAATTTCTCCTCATGAAAAGTGTACAGGTTCATTCATTCGAACTCAAAGTATGTTTGGGGTTCAATTAGGCAGTTTTGCTTCAGTGTGTGACCGTATTTGCGATACGACAGTTTTTCGAAAGCAAACTAGACAAACATCCGAGATGTGCGTGCCCCTTGTTTCAGTGGCACCTGATAATCAGTTAGTGCAAGCGAATAGATGACATCAAATTTACGGCCTTCGAAGGGAACACCCGTTTTTCGATACATGTCACAATTGGTGCGCCTGTTGTAAAGTGTGGGGTCGTGTTTCCATTGTGGGTACTAGTCGTTACCGTGCAACTGGCTGTGTCTCGCCCCTATTCGATGGTAGCTTGGTTTCATCAAACAATCGCGTCCACTGAGGCCCTATTCTTAACCGCAATGTGTTTACTTGACTACTTGTGAACAGTCGGACTACTGTTGTGAATTTGAGCACGATTCGCGTAAAAATCTGGACATTGATTCGAAAAAACATCCATCTGATAGGTCCATATTCGGGCAACACGTGGAGTGAATGACATCTTTCGATGACTGAATAAATAGGCTTGGCAGTCGGTTTCAAGTAGAACATAAGGTTGACGGAAACCCGAGGGCTGCGCCTACCTGATGAGCCCTAAGAAGGGCGAAACCGGTCATGGGCTGTCGATGGATTTTCAGCAACCTTATGAGTAGTACATTACAAATATACTTGGCAGTTGTCATTTGGGGAATGTAACCAGACTGGGACGTAAGATTACACAACGTACAACATATCCACAATTGCCAATTGCCAAGTAATCAATCACTATTGTCCTTTTGCTTGTTGCCTCCTGTTGATGAGTGAGCATCTTGGGCAAAACGAAAGTTGCCTATTCATAACGGCATGCCAACAACACGGATTCATAATATTAGACCAGTGTGTTTGAATGACGGATATGCAATACCATGCTTTTGTTACTGAATATCTGGAGCATTTATTCCAGGCGAAGCAAAACCATTCACCGCGCACACGAATCGGCTCATTAAAAATCCAATTGCGCAAAGCAAGCGACTTGGTTCTCGTTAGCTAATGCTCCTCTCACAAGGGAACCTGAGTACCAACCGGTTGTCTCGGGGGAGAGTTTTGTTGTACCGCCTAGATGTTGACGATGGAATATCACCAGAAAATGCCACCGCCATTCACCGGTGGATGCGTTTCAATCCACTGTTCTTCACCTCATCCTACAACTGGCCTCAAATCCTCAGTAAAAAACAAAATTGGCGACGAAGTCAGTCAGCAGTGTCAGAGCTAGGAAGAGAAAAAATTTTGCTACGATATCGTTAAGAGCAACAACTCCAACTAGTGAAAATCGGCTTCACATAGGTGTTTTGCAAACGTCCCTTCATGTTTACAAACATCGGAACAATGAAAGCTGGGAGATCATTGTACTTTCCAGGCGGACACTAAAATGAATGAAAACTGGGAACGAATCTCTATCTGCATGTTGTAGGGAGGCCAACATTGATAGGATAACAGCGGTAAAAGGTATGCAGAAATAACGCGCTACCCATAAGGTTGCCTTCCTTCTTGGGATTCATCCAGTGGGTGCAGTCTCCGACCTTCCGCCAACCCTCGGTTGAAGAGTTTCAAGTACCCTGTGAGTAGTATGTTCCATCTACGATATTTCGAATATCGTATCAACTGAAATGTGAGGCGGTCTTTGTGTTGCACATTCATTCGGGGTATATCATAAAGCAGAGATTCACTTGGTCACTTAGTCACCCGTTAAAACCAAATTAGTTTGAAAATGAGTGTAGCTCATGAATGACTAAAGTTGTTTACCTCCATCCTTCTTTCGCTTTCCAAAACCTGCCATGTGATAACTGCTCAGCTCTCCTGTTCGCCGTTCACTGTTTTCTTTGTCTCGTTTGGGACAAGCACAACTGCGGAACTTGATGCACTGACGACCGAGAACCTCACATTGTCCTTTGCTTGGTTCGGTTCTGTTGATAATGAAATGGGGTAACATCATAATGCCAGGGAAAAGACAATAGGAAGTGTAATTAAAAAGTATGGTAGAATATCGGTGCAAGCCAATACACAGGAATCACGTATTCTAGTTTTGAACTCAGCTAATGGCACATGTCAAGAACTTTTGCGTGCATAGATTCGGTAGATACCGTTTAACTGGCATGGCCTAACTTTACAGCAGGTACAACGTGTGTCTGTAGATTTTTGTCCACAGCATTTCGTTTCGTCTTGCACGAACTGTCACTATCAGTCCAGGTAATCCTTTTATGATTCTTGGATACGCAGCAGGTTTGATCGCAAACAATCGCTTTCAACCTAGCCCCCAGAGTTAAACGATGATTGTTTTTTATATGAGATAACTAGCCAGGCGTTTATGAGTGCGAAAGTTAACTAACTGTATTTGACTGGTTAGCTGTGAAATATGACCAGCCATCTTGAATGAATGATGGAGAACGAATAACACGAGGCGTTCTGTCTAGTAGCCAACGCCAAAAGTTCGAACATACAGCTGACAACTTGCGTCCTTATCGTTCAACTACATGAGGGTGTCAAAGTGGCAAAAGAACAGAAAAACTTTTTAGTTATTTATTTATCTTATGGGGCTTTGTACAGCTAAGGCTGTAACTCCAGTAGCGACTACCGAGCGGTAGAGTCAGCGTTTTTTCGAACACCATGCTGGCAGCTAGTGGACGATCATGCTTCCGGCACAGTGGTCGACCAACTCAGCTCGGCTAATTGAGACTAGCCCACCAATCTCAGCAGCTGAAGGTGGTCCAACTTCGTCATCCATCCAAGTGTCACCTAGTTCAGATTTCAGTAGTCAAGATTCTGTTCAGAAAACTACGAAACGGAAATGGAACAAATTCATCCTGCCTTTCATTCGCTGTCTGTTTTAGTCCATTCCACATGCTGATGGGAGCTCTTTTGCTAGTGAGTCCCCTCCTGTGAACATCCAATGGGATGCAACAAGATTGGTCACTTTTCCAGAGGTTCTGATAGCTTTTGATGCGTTAGCCATGCCCACAGGAATGGAAAGAAAGACGGGTGGTGCAACACTATGATGGCCAGTAATGTACCGTATAAACGTCGTTCCGTAGCGACAAGCAGAACTGTATTTTGAATCACCACAGAATGATTCACTTGTTTCTACTTAGTGTGTGACCATGCCAGTCCTGTTGAAGGCATAAAATTTTCAAAACTCTATTCTTACCGGATCCCATGTGACCAAAAGAAGCCGTTCTGTTGTTGTTCACATCCGGCAATCAACCAAAGTAAGTAGCTTATCGATTTCCTAATATTTTCACTCAATAGGGTGTTGGTTGCTGAAATGTTATATCATTATATTTGTGTTCAGTAGGCTGAGGGCTTGACAATATTTACTCAGCCATATTAAAAAAACACTTGAAAGTTAAAATGGCGCTGGAAATTCTGTCAGGTCAAAGACTATTGGAGTACAGCGAGGAGGTGGGTGTATAGAGCCCCAAATGTGGGTACGCTAGAACCAATCACGTGATATTTTTACCGGTATTTTCTACTGTTGGGTGGACCTAAATGCAACCCATGCTAATGTAGTTCGCAAGAGGGATCACTATCCATTTGCTGAGCCTCAACAGCGCGTACCGCACTGTGTCTTCAGGGCTACTTACAGAGTTGTTTTCTTGTGTTTGACGTAAAACGTAAAACAATGCAGCAAATGGGTGTTGGCCCATGTATGGTCGTAAGTTTTCGCACTGAGAATAAATTTAGACGACCATCCTCTGAAAAGTCGGTACCTACCACTTTCGTTCGGTTATTTCAATTGATCTCATTGAGAAACAGTTGTTTCTTCATAGCCATAAACCGCGTAACTATGTCCCATCGGGAATAGTTCACTCAATCATGAACGAATCTCAGCAGTTCGGTCAGTAAGAAACCCCTCTATTTGATTGCGAAGTATTTTAAAGATAAATCCTTCCTTCGTATAGGCGTACTATACTACTCGTAAGGTTCCTGACAAGAGATTCAGCTGGGTTCCCGGTGAGTCTCTGGTCAAAGCCAAATTGATAGGCAGATGAGTGCATTTGTCGATTATTCTTACTTCGCCAGCTGCAGTGAAGATATCAAAAAGTGTCTCTGTTCTAAACAACCAACACGGGCCATAAGATCGACATGAACCGAATTTTGCTGTAATTCGTAAAACCAGTTTAAAAATCGGTTCCGAAGAGCTGAATTGTCGCAGTGAGGACCGTAGTCCCATGATTGTGCGAACCAGCAGCGAGCCGTCAGAATTTCGTACATGTCATCGGAGTGTGGTGGTTCACTCCGGACGAAGAGCTGACATGTGTAATCAGACATACGATCACCTAGCCAGGCAATACTGTAAGCCCATTGGCTGTCAGTGAAACTGACCTGTGTGTCTTGAACCAATCGTGTCAGTTCGTTCGAATCCCTCGAACAATATAACGTCAAATTTCGATCATCAGACTACAATCGGCCAGATGAGGAAGTCCTGAAAACGCGCTTTTCTTCAAATATGGGTGCGGCAGATATCCTACGTATTTGAATATATCTGGACATCCAGGTACAATCCCTTGTTGGTTTAAACAATTTAGCGTTATATGCAAATGTTTCGGTTCTGTATTACTGATGTTGTTTCAGCCTTAATGCCTCCATTGCATGAGAAATGGATGAATCAATGAACTTGAAAACGACAGCGCTCATTCTATCTACCAAATGCCGTGATTCATTTGAATAAAACGAAAAAATTTTCGCGTGCTTCTGAACGCCAGGACTTCCCCGCTCCCCTGAAAGGGATCACAAATCACGAATTCAAACGAAACCATCTTGACGTTCGTTGGTCTGCGGGTGTCACCGATCATCTATCTACATGTGCAACTCAACTGCTGTGACCTACGCATGAAATCTGGTCAGATCGAGAAGACTCAGTGGACAAAGAGTGCGTGCGCGTTCCTCAATCGCCAAAGGGTTCAGTGACCAAAAGCCGTTTTAAGTGAATGAGATGGTCGCATAAATTGACAAACATGTGGAGTTCAGTCCAGTAAATGTGCCCGCGTCCAACGGTGCGGTATCCTAATGTGAAGCCACTCTCACACCAACTCAACGATGTGGTGAGGCCGCCCTTTAAAACATCACATGATACAAAGGACATGAAAATGGCCACAGACCAGTGGTTTGACTAGCATCATGGATGGAGGGGTGGACCCCCACTGAGCGGTAGTCCTGACGGCTGAAAAGATCAACCGTAGTATGCAGAAAAAAAAATGTAAACTGGTCCTGGAAACCACCATACCAAATGACAGGTGAACGCATTCGTGTGGATTCACCGGCTGAATTTGCCCAAGTTCATTAAACGCCCGGAAGAGGTGATGGTGGTCAGTTAGCAATTCATTTAGCTTCTGTTATCTCTAATTCCATCTAACCACGTAGTTGGTCACCCTCACAGGAAGACAACAACTCACCCGGCAACCAGGCGTTCCAGGGTGATAATCAAAAACAGCGGCTTTTTGTTGCCTTGACCACCGTTGTAAAGACAGCTGTTGAAGCACATGAATTTTCCGTTGAATTGACTGTATTCGCATCCCTCTGATTTACGGGGGGGGGGGGGGGGGGGGTGGGTTAGAAGAAGAAAAAATTTGGTGACCAGCTATCCGAGTGGATCAGTTAGCTGATTGTGGACAGATACCAATATAAAAAACAAAGAACCAATCGCAAACATTACTGGACAGTAAATTTTACTGGTTGACTGCGCTCATTATCCAGCCAGTTACCGGAGGAACGCGACGATACACTTGACGGATCTAATCCAAATAAGATTGGGTGGTATTTGGAAAAAATCTATCCGTTCCACGAACAGTAACGAACATAGCATATATCATATTTCTGGTCTCTAGTAAATTACATTAATGTGTCCGCCGCTCATATCTCACCCTTTCACGACTTGAAGATGTTTACCTAGTTGGTGCCCCGTGAAACTCAAACACTATTGACACAGCGTATTGGTTAAAACGTGTGTAATATTTTTTTCTCACTGTGTTGTCTGTCTAGCGGACGTTGGTCGTCCGCTACGCATGTCATTACCTATCAAGATCTGAGTCGAACACATGCCATGGGGATAGGTGTCACAATAATGCGAGATTGGGACGAATAACTAATGATGCTCGAGTCAATTGTGTCACAGCTCATCTGTTTTCGGGGCGGGATGGCTCAGTGGTTGGAGCGCGAAAATCCGTGGTTCGAACCCGACCTCTACCTCTCGACTTCCTCTGTCTAGGCTTGGGCAACCTGACAGTATCCCAACCCTCTTGCTTCCTTCTGTTGGCATGGCATTTAGGCACCGCAAGGGTGCAACAGCTGAACGACTTGCTTCATCTGTTTCTTGATCATATATATCGATCTTGTGAGTAGTAGCAAAAACGAAAATGTGGCTACCACAGTTTAGTCGTTTAACAGCTGTCAAGGCTATCATGTAGTTAAGGTGGATCAAGATACTGCGCTCCTAAAACGCGAACGATTCAGTTACGAAACGTATAAAACATTTGTGCGTGGGGGCATGACGTATGAACGATTGTTGAAACTATGCGAACACGTCGGTGTTTCATCAGTGATTCAGTATCCCGAGCACTTTGGACAAGTTAATATAAACTATTCTAGAAATCCGTCGACTGACTAGCAACAGAAAGTAGATAGTGTCACTGCCGGCTCAGCTTTTTTTCTGCTTAGACCGTATGATTTGCCCCGCCGAATCGAACATGGGATACTGTGATCTGGCGCAGTTAGTTTCTTCCTCGTTTTTTATGTTCATCCGCCACATATAAATAGAAGTTTAAGCAGATCTTTGAAGGGCTCTTATAACGCTTACTTACAGACTAAATCATCCAAAATTGCAAACGATTCTGTGTGAGAGACCATCCACAAGTGACTCATATACTTTGGTGACTGGCATGAATTCCCTTCCCAATGACCCTTTGGTGCTGCGTACGGTGAATGACCTCTGAACCGGTCGCCAAACTAAAGAAAAGCTAGGCGGTGACCAATGTGGGGTTGAACAACGAAGAAAGCCACTTAGGACTTAACTCTACTCCAGTACCTTGGCTAGTGATCGGCATGTCTCACCTATAAAGTGTTACGTAATATTGTTACACTCTTGTACATCGATAGCTGCTTCTGTCACAATCCCTAAGTTGATGCAGATGAGCGAAATTTTTTTACGAACACGTAATCCGTCAGAAGATGGAAGCTTACTTGTCGAGGACTAAACTATCCTTTGTTCTCACCTGAGATGTACCTGTGAGTTTCATTGGAGCTTTACAAGAAAATGATGCAGTGACGAACCTAGACGACATATAGTTTACACTCTTGTTACAGCAGTAGAGCTGCCAATAACTGTGACTCGCGATTTCTCGAACAGGATTGGTGCGAAATTGCCCACAAATAGCTGACAGAACCTGATGAATTGTCGTGTGGCGTTCAGCATTGAACCGTATGATTTTGTATCGCTTTGTCTCTTTGTCTTTGTACTGAAAGGGTCGCGAAAGTGGCAAAACGAACTTTGATTCATGGGATGAACCCACAACGAATTAGTCCACCAATGTATCATCCAACGGTTAATCAGGGTTCAATTTACTATCGTCCAAACTGCCCCCCCACACACACACAACGAAGCTCTAGACAGGCAACAGATATGATCCTCTCGGATTTGATGAATGGTTATGGGAGGGGGTAAAAGTGCTCACCTTTCGGTCGTTCATACGGTAAGGTAACACACAGGCGTTCCGTCACTGGATCAAAAAAGTAGTCGGCCAGGGAGTTCCCCACGAGAACAATGCTATACCGTGACATGGCACTGGTTGGTACAGACATAAAGTCTTCAAAGCATCTGAAGTGGACAAACAGGGGTGGGTCGTAAATCTTCCTTCAACAAACAACAAATCTTTCAACTGTAACACCCTTCCGGTGCCTAGCTGCCATGCCACCCGAAGGAAGCACGAGGGCTGGGATACTGTCAGGTTGCCCAAGCCTAGACAGGGGAAGTCGAGAGGCAGATGTCGGGTTCGAACCGCGAACCTTCTGATCAGTAAATTCGCGTTCTAACCACTTGAGCCATCTCGCCCCCCGGTCGTAAATCAACCGAGGTGGTCATCACCACGCTCAAAATCAGGTAAATTGGATGGTCACCGTCTCATCAACAGTCATAGAAACAAATCAAGGGTTCAAGTTCAATGGAGAGAGTATCGCACAGGCGTTTTCCATTGTCTAACTTGAGCGAAACTTCTGGCCGGTCTATGGGGATTAACCTGAATTATTGGTCCTTACGAATAGGCTGTCACTTAATCATGACTTCATCTATTTATTTAGGAGAAATCACTTCCCTAGACAGGCTTCATTTGAAACTAGTCTAGGTTTCCGAGGTTGTCGATTTTTCCACGATAAAGCAGCCTGACAAAACTGTCACTTAATCATGACTTCATCTAAGTTGTACGAATTTATTTACGAGAAATCACTTCCCTAGACAGACTTCATTTGAAAATAGTCTAGGTTTCCAAGGTTGTTGATTTTTCCACGATAAAGCAGCCTGACAAAAACCTCTTTTCATAGAAAAAGACGGGCAACAATAAGAACAGCTATGGAAAACCTACGTAAAACTGGTAGAACAAACAACCCCGGTGAGATGCTACGGGGTTCTACATACAGAAAGGAATCTAACGAGATTTCTTAGGTAACTGGCCGTCCTCAGTAAGCAGTGTCCCTCAGAGAGGTTTTGTCATGTACTATGATAAAACACTGATCAAGACTTGGGACTATAAGGCCAGTGTGTTTTGTCTAGGCAACGCAGTTGGACGTGAGAGACTACTGATAGTATAGTAAACAGCTTCTCGTCGTATGGGGACAAAACTGTGTCTCCCTTGCCCTCCTAAACACAAAACAGAATCATAAATGCAGCAGCACCATGGGTAACAAGCTCGCTGCGGCAACCTGACTCTCACCACACGAATCAATGTAAGAATGACCCGCCTGGCTTAAATTATGATGTTTCCTATGTACTCGCTAAAAAGTGTCGGGACATGTATCGTGTTCACTATATCATCGTTTACATCTGACAGTCAAACATAATAAGCTCAAGAGGTAGCAAAAGGTGACGTAAACGCAGTTTTGTCCCCCGTAACTCTGCTTCATTGTGTGATGGCGATACTCTAGCAGAATATGGAATCCCAAACTAAGGACAAGGACCCAATGGTCAGAAAGATGACAGTACAAGAGGAAAGTACCCTCTCTCTCTCACCATGAGGCTAAAGTAATGTACGTGAGGATTTGTGATTCTGTAACTTTTGGAGGTGTATCAATGACTGTATGCCACTTGGAAAATCTTATATATGAAGTGATTGATTTAGCCCTCTTTCCGAAATCAACGAAAGCAAGTAGTATAGGATAGAACGCTTCGACACCACGATCCGCTTTCAAGTGGCACCTTAGAGAAGTAAGTGGTTTGAGTAAGCGAAGCAAGAACAGATGTCCTGCAGTTACAAGGCTGCTATCGATTCAATCCGCTTTACAAAGTAAGCTCATCTTAGGTAGTGATTGATGTGGGTGAAATGGCTCAGTGATAAGAGCGCGAATTTACTGACCAGAAGGTCCGTGGTTCGAACCCGACCTCCGCCTCTCCACTTCCCCTGTCTAGGCTTGGGCAACCTGACAGTATCCCAACCCTCGTGCTTCCTTCGGGTGGTATGGCAGTCAGACACCGAAAGGATGCTACATCTGAACGCTTTTTTAATGATTGATGAATGTTTAGGAAAACCGATAGGTTTAAAAATGCCGATTGGTGTGTTGAGATGTGTATGTTCGCACGCATCATCATCATCATCATCATGACATCAGTGTTCAACACCGATACCGCGGTGTTTGGCAGGAAACGCAAATGCATTATTACCATTTCTACGGAACAAGTCGCCACATGTTCCAACACCCAGGGCCAGGAGACTGTGTTTGTCAGACCTCTGACGATTGACCAACCTGGTATGAGAGACTCTGTGGGTACCACGAGGGCACTCCCCAGTGGATCGCTGAGGTGCGCAAACCGTCACACCACGGTAAGGTCCAATCTCTTCGTGACAGCGCACGCATGTTCGTTCGTTCGCCCCCTTTCGACTTGGTACATGGCTGAGTCTCTGATGACAACAACTGAATATATAGACCAGAAGTGGTCCCCTCCAAAGAGCTAACAAAGGAATGAGTTGATGAAAGATTTTTGAAGGACCCAACCCATCTAACCTTCTATGGCCTCCCATAAGTACCGCCGCACGGCGGTAGCGATCGTACATAAGCAGAGTGTGATATGCGTACAGTCCGACTATTTTGTACACAAGGCATAACGCGGAAGTCACTTCAAGGGAACCAGTAGGGGATTAGTCTCGCTGTCTCCCCCATAAGGTAAATAAAAACTTGGGGTAAACATGTGGTTGGTTCTTGTGAGCAAATCAATAAACCATCCGACTGTTCGCTAACAGTCAAAATGTACGGTCAGAACAAAGCACATCACTCTAAATAACACCTCGTGCTTGGGTATTAGGCTTAGCGGGTATTGGAGGGAACGAACCGCAAAAACTAATGTGGCTTACCGTTGAATGACCTCTTGTTGCTTATCTGCCGTTCCGTACACAGGAGTCAGACGAATAAAAGATCCTTCTGGCGGTTGTCTCTGGCACCAATAGGAAAGTGTCCACCAAGTGGGTGTCTTTTTCGAATACAAATTTGTCCAGCCATGTTCATCCTTGAAAAACTGATGAGGGAAATTGTTTGAAAGGTTATGTTGTATCATTCTGACTGAGGGAACCTGTCAGTTTCAAGCTGTCGAATTAAGGATGTATTGGTGAATCGTGTTGGTCTTAATGTGGCGCTCAAATGAGTTAAAATGGCGCTCAAAAGTAGCTGATCGCTGGAGAGAAATGCACCAAATAGTGGGCGAATCCGGGAACATAAAATTCCAGTTTACGTAAATAAAGGCTTCTTAGTCAGGTGCAGAAAACTCGAGAGATGGCCCGGTGTTTGGAAAGTTTAAACAAATACCAGTCCAATTTAAGCAAGATAATAAAAGAGGGAACCATCTCTCAAGTTGGTTTGATAACATATCTTCTGTGCCTCGAGAACGGATTGTTTTGACAACACACAGCGCAACCTGCCCCAAACAGTGCAAGCATATTAGGCAAGTCCAGATGGCCCTCATCAGTGTAGTTGCAAGCAGTGCGCACAAAGCAAAAGTGATGATAATATTGACAAGGAATGCGTTAGGTTGTGTTTTTGATCGCCATGATTCCCGTCGTAAAGAAAATAGGAACGGGAAATTCTCGATCGGCTTCTTCCTCCAATTAGCATGCAATCATTACTGCATATCACATGATCGAGCCACCTGGACTTTGCCCTGAAATACCTTATCAGAGACCTCACCACACCTGTTCCCCGAACAGTTCGTCAGAAATTAGTCATTACCAGATTCCATGAGTCACAGTCTTGAAAATAACATATGTATATACTCTGTCCGCAAAGACTGCTACTCGTCAATTCACATGACCCTTGAGACCGAGTGATACGCGATTAGGAAGCCACCAGCTCCAGTGGTACAACTTGGTGCGTACAACTCTTTCACAATACCGCCAAAAATAATGCAATAGTCAAGGTAGGTAGAGCATTGTATGACCTACAATGTCTCCTCCCTTGAGGGATAAATTATGCTTTGACAAGGGCCTCCTGTAACACTTGTCGCTACATGAGAAACGGTTTTCCACGAGAAATCTCATTCCGTGGATGTAACTCAAATGAACAGTGAACAGCTAGGTAAACCCTGTCACCAAAATTGATTATGGACTGTAGTCATTTGTGTGACAGACGGTCCGTCCATTCAAGTAATAATGGACAAGGAGTATAGTTCATCTATGCGTTGAATTGTTTGCCAGATAAAGGACAAGACTTATTCTTCTTTAAAGTAGTGGATGGCAACATTCAAAGCTCAGTACAAAGACTTGCTACCAACACGTGTGGTACGAGTCTGTGACACAAATATCGTGGAAAATTGATAAATACTGTTTTCCCAGGATGGGATAGGAAGTTTCGCAATGGACTTACGAAAAATGCAGTACTTGGTTTCGTATCAGATGCTTCGTAAGTGTCTCCACAGAGAGGGCGATATAGATCGAAACCATAATAGCCGGGAAAGGAATCCCTATGGAAAACACGGATAAAAAGAAAATATTGGGTTCAGTATCTCATTCCTATGAGTAGCTGGGCTAGTTTGGTCCTAAAGTTCTTCCATTCACCAAATATCCCTTCTAGAAAACTCTGTTCCATGTGATAAATCAACCAGGGTAGTTCCAGTTACGTCAAATATATCTATCCTTGGCTGAACATTATACTGAAGCCTTGGAAAGGAACATTCTAAATGTTCCAACTGTACATGGTAGCCAAAAACCGGTGGTGTACCAACTGCATCGGTGCGGAAGATCTGAACGAGAAACAGCAGACAATTTACCTGCAGTTAGAGGGCTTCATGGTCAATACTTGGGATTGCACATTGACCAAAAGTCTTCGTTCAACAACCTCTGGCAGCATCAAACCAGGTCTTACAGTCCACTTGGAACCAGTGGCATACGGTGTTGGATTACTGTTCAAAACACCACAGCACTATCAAAACTGACAACAAATTCCACTGCTAGAACACTCTACTTAGACCATCACAGCTTGTGTCCCAAATCTGCGCGCCACTGACAGTGGAGGCGAGCTGGAAAAGCCAAGCTTCCGCGGTTGTACTGTATCATACAACAAGATCTTGGTGGCTTATGCCGTTCAACGACAGCAACTTTACCGAGTAATTCAGGAGGCAAAATTTCTCACCCGGACTACCGACCGATGTAGGATGCGGTATGATTGGATCGTAATCCCGAGAACATTGCACGATAAAGCTCTAGAGCAAGTGAACGGTGGACATCCAGTAATTTAAGCGAATACAGTCGGCAATACATAGCTGATGGTCTTAGGTAAGGAATAGTGTGTACGCGCTTGTCATCGGCTTTTAACGTCACACCTGACAGCTTCAAATGATTTGATGGAGAACTTAAAGGGATCAGGAAGCTGGACACGTTTGTCCACAGTTGTTTTGAGAACATAACACGGAGAAAGAACCATGTAAGCAGCATTCACTCAAGTCTCGCCTGAATGAGTTTCCGGTCCAACTTAATCACACTCGCCGGATAACCACTGCTTTAACTGATTCTACAGCGAATTCACCGCGATGTTGTGTGAGGAGATGGCAGCATTAAAAAAATCGCCACTACTAGTTATAGTGAGTCAGTTTTCGTACGGTCAGTCAAAACCATTGTATTAAAGAAGAACAATCGTGCGCCTGTCGATAGCCTGGTACTGCAACTCAATTAGAAAACTTGTTTCGGATCGGCGCATGACTGACTCACCCGTAGAAATTCACTATGATCCAACCAAGGATGACTAACTGACCCAGTGTGTAGCATTGTCACCAACACTATGTGTCGCTAAATCAGGCCACAGATAGAGTAGTCGTTGTCCGTATCCGAAAAGTGCCAGCATTATGCGATTGAAGAAAGGCTGGATGTACGACACACGACACACCAACTAGTGCAGCAAATGAAGGGACTAAAGCGAAACTCTGAAAGGAAGGAACCTCGCGCGCTCTAATGCTTTACACGTGGATCTGTTCACACGAACCAGGTGCCTTCGGACGGCTGTTATCCTTTTCAGGTGGCACTAGAGGTCAATGCGTACAAGCGCGAGATACATGAGGAGAGCTTGATGTTCAGATGCATGCTTAGCCTCTCAAATATCGGCATGGATTGGGGCAGTTTGGACAAGCTGGGTAGACAGTTGGACATGGGGTACAGAAAGTGATGGCTGTTTTTTAAGAGTGCATACAATTGTATGCACTAGCGCGAAAACAACAAACGCCCAAGATGGTTTGACCTTAGCCGGGTGACATGGCGTAAAAAGTGGAGGCCCAACCAGTTGGATTCACGGTGTGACTTAAAGTTTATTTAGTTGAACGTCAAAACCGGGAGAGGAAGAGATATAAGGCGATTAAGAATACTCCATATAAACAAGGGGTTACAGCTTCCCAGGATGTAGGACAATGTGCACGGTTGCCAGCAGATGCCACTGGTGTTTGGATATTGGACAAATCACAATCGGTGGACGATTAGCTACTTACAACGAACAGCTGAAGTTGGACTAGTTGAGGACTAGTTCGAGTGGGCCGTCCATGCACAGTCCCCTCAAAGGCCACCGCTATGCGGTCACATAGATGAGTGGTAGTCGTGGGCTGGTGTTAATCAGTGCAGTAGAGATGGCTCACAAAGAGTAGTCAATTCTCCGACTCAAATCCGAATTGGTGATCGGTAACTTTCAGCTCACTTGATGCGTCGTGTATTTGAGGATAATATGATTTGACACCAGGATTTTGCTGTGCTCATTAATCTCACCATTCCTAACGGTCGAGTCACACAAAAGTAGCTGAGGTTTGGCCACATGCCTCACTAGTAGAAACTCAACCGGCTCAGGGAGTCGAATAATCACCGGCGATTCCATGCAGATAGTTTATCTGATCCAACATCAAAAACAGTTTTCGCGTATAACATCTCAAACGCACACCGGAGAGTGAATGGATCTAGTTTGCCTCCGGGGTCAGCGTGTCACCTTAGGTTGGGCTTCAAATAGCCGGAGCTATCTGTCCTAATTACTTTTGAGAGGATACATATATATATAGTTAGATATTCCTATAACCGTAGGCGATCGAACGACCTACCAGTAACTTATTTAGTTAGTTAGTCTAGCATACGAACCAAAATCAGCGCGGTTCACGTTGACCTTAACCGTCAACAAGCCCGCATTGTTCCCACCCGGTCCAGTACAGCATGGTAGAAACAAAGTGCACCAACACACTGTGTTGTTCGAAAATGCTACAGACTCAGGCAACTTGGATACGGAGATTAGATGGCCTGGGTTTTCTTTGTGGCTTCTATGTAGTTTTATCAGTCCTTACATTGACCCGGAGCAATCACCACTACCATCAGCACTCCACCACCATACGCATTTGCTTTAAAAAAACGGCAGAGTGGAAAAGGAGTTGTTTCCCGTACGGAAACGTATCACACGACACAACTACCATCGGGGAATCTGTGTGCTGACTCGTTTCATCTTGCCTGCTCAGCTCACTTGTTCCTTGGGAGCACTATAGGCCTACGGGGGTTCCGATGCATGCTCAGTCTATTTGTATCGCCGCCCCAGCCCAGTGGCTAGACGAACGAGTAACACACGAGGGTGTCTGTCCACGAACCATGGTGTTCATGCGTCGCGCAGTCTCATGGCTCACTAGCGCAAGGCACAAAGCACTAACTGTCTCCTGTCTAACTGGCGACCGACGCCCATGTTCATTCATCCAAAGGGAAACAGTTAACAGTAGAAAAATGATTGTGTAGACAAACCATTGAATAAGTAGAGAGAATAAAGGTTAAAAATCAGTGCGGAGAATAGCTAAACAAAACGCATCAACGGTGGTTAATGTCAAATCAATTCTAGTCACTAAACATTACAAAACGATCGCTATCGAAGTGCCTCCTGTAGGTGATCCTCTATTTTCTAATATCTAAGATAGACTGAGTGTAAATTCTGCAATCCTGTGGCTTCACCCTCACAAAGGGATCTAAAAATAAGTGGCATTGCCTAAACTGCGTTCACTACAACCTTATCTATCGCTAGACAAGAAAAAAGCTTCAGTCATTACCTACTGAATATAGTAAGATCAAAACAGACTGGCGCTATTCTGCAAACTCACAGAACGGGAATATCATCACTGGTAAGCTTCTTCGGTGGATGAGCTGTGTCACCCATTGCATCGGCCCGAACCGGTCCAGCCGATTCCAGATCTGTGTATCCATTCGGACTGACATTGAAACCGGAAGACTGCCTCGTGTAGGTCACCGGAGTGGATACAACTGGAGGTGAACAAACCGGTGTGGTTGTTCGGTTGATTGCTGCTGACAATACGGAAGTAGAGTGTTCCGTCTTGTCGACGACATTAGGCTGCAGTGAATAAGACAGGAATGTAATTACTGAGAGATCAAATACTGGTCAGCTATTTTAAAAGGGAAGATGCTATCCCAGCCAGGGCAACTCAGCATGTGAAGTGACAAACCGCAGTCAACCAGTAACGGTAGTCACGAGGCTATTGTTCCATTTGCCACGGGTTACACCGAGTACGAGGTTGACTCGTGCGCATGTTTGCGCCTCGGACAGGCAACAACGTGTTTCCATTCCAAAGCACGCATCAAAAAAGGAGGCACGCTCGTGAATGTGCGGGTTGAAACCCGATGGCATGACGATCATAGCTGCTCATACAAGCAAAGACTGTGTATGGTGGATATGATTGCCGAAACAGGTCTGAACCGGATCTAAAACCACACACGGCTTACCATACGGATCAAGTCCATTGCAAGTGCCAGGCCTGTCCGCGCTCGTTCGCCAACGTTAAAGCTCGCTGTTCCACCGGACAATGGTTCGCTCCCGCCACCACTGACCGTATTGTTTTGCGCACCGTTGATCAACTGTGAGATGCGATCGGGAAAGCTTTGCTGGAGGGGGCGAAGACCCGAATGTAAATTAGCTGCTAAGATGGGGTCAGAGTCTCCAGGCCTACTGAGCACACGCTCCATTGTTCTCGGCTATCCGCTTTTGGACTATTAAATGTGAGGTCCGCGATGATTAACATCACAAACAGGCTGCCTAATGTCCGGCCCCCGAGTTCACAACCGACCTATCATCACTTCGATCCGGTCACACCCTATTCGCTGTCACCCCCACTAAGCCTGTGTGCACACCGACAACACGGCTCAACAAGTGCAGCTTGCACACAAGCCCGCAAGTGCACATGTGGCTGTGTGCATGCCGTCAAACTTGAGGAGAAAATTGATGACAGCATGACTGTCACCGCCCACGCTAATCACGTCCGTCTACTGCCAAGACTTCTCAGGTCACAAAGAAGAACAGGCACACACCGGCGGTGTTCACAATGATGCACGCACGCGTCAGCCATTCAACACCCCTGTCAGATGATCCAATCAGAACAGCCAGGGGCAATCGCCTGGACAACCCTGTGAGCCTTCAGTTGTTTATAGGCAGGTTTAATCTGTGCCTCCGGTTGGGCCATACTAGGTCGGTATGAAAAGTGTGGTCCGTCGCGTCGCCGAGATTTGTGCTCAGTGCGGTTGGGGTGGAACAATCTAAGTTTCGCGCACCGACTTCCGATTTCAAGCGCAGGGTGTGCTTGCAGACCAGAAGCAAACTAGTCAACATCCACTTGACAAGATTACCCGCTATTGTATGTGCATGAAGGATTTCGGATAGGAGGGCTTCGATAAGCACGGTACTACGCGATACAGTGATACCTTTTTACCCCGATTAATACTTTTGCCTGATGTACTTATCATGGGGCTTAACTTGGTAAGCAGTTAGACCTCTCTCCTCGGGACGGAAAAACACTAATATCCGTCCTAAGATGTCTAACTGTTGCTCTACCTTACATCCCTCTGTCCGTGTGACCGACACATTCTCCTACTTTTCCCGACTTTCTAGAAGAACGATGAATGTTACTGCCAATTCCAATTCCAATACTGTCTAAAGTACCAATTGGCTGATCGTATTCATTGCTAAGAGCGAAAACGGAGGGTTTTTCGAACTTCAAACTTTGACGTGTCAGATACTTTGTTGTTCTGCTCGATTCTTGCGTCCGTGGAACAGGTCCAACAACTTACACATGCACGTACTGAAGATCAGTTAAGGGTGAGCGTACTAAAAAACGTACTGTCCAAGAAGTCACCATCTGGATTTGATATGACACTGGTATAAATGTCATGTACTGATGAGTACATACAACAAAACCTTAGTGACAGGTCAGTGTTACTCATTGGATGATTGTGTGTACGGTCATTGCTGGTTACTAAGTTCATAAGGGAACTACTCATAAGGTTGCTGAAAACTCTTCGACAGCCCACGGCCGGTTTCGCTCTTCTTGAGGTCGAAGTCTAGACAGGAGCGGTCGAGATGCCTAGGTGGGGTTCGAACGGGGGCGAGATGGCTCAAGTGGTTAGAGCGCGAATCGACTGGCCGGAAGTTCCGTGGTTCGAACCCGACATCTACCTCTCGACTTACCCTGTCTAGGCCTGGGCAACCTGTCACTATCCAATCCCTCGCGCTTCCTTCGGGTAGCATGGCAGTTAGGCACCGAAAGGGTGTTACAGATGAGTGGGGTTCGAACCATGGACATTCTACCCATTTTCTTCGCCTTTTGCCCAAGTTCTCTCTCACTCTCGCTCGATACGTTACACCTATTTCTACACGTTCGCCTGTTCAGACGTGAAAATTCAGATCCGTCCAACGTGCGTTGGTGCAGTAGTGCTTACACTCTCGCCTCGCATGCCAGATGTCCGGGGTTCAAATCCCGGCACGGCCATTGGGTATGCACTGCTGATGAGCTCTAGTAAGAGCGAAACTCGGGTCCAGTGCATCCCTTTAGTGTGGGCTCACTGGAACAAGAACACGACCGTTCAAACGAAAGTGGTATGAACTTAAAACCAGTCTGAACTTGGCTTTTTCAAAGATGTAAGTTACGGCAAAGAACAAGAGATTTTATGCTTGGTCTAGATACGGTACGGCAGACTGTCCTAATGACAACAGCCTCACTGGAAGCTCCTACATAATCTTCTTGGTCGGAGCAAATTTTCTTCGTCGTCGATTTATTTCCATGGTTGACGCCAACTCGAGCGACGATCCCGAAGTGTCTCGGCGGTCGGGACTTCCTTTCTCAGGACCGAAACATACCAACCGCTTCGTCTTTTATGAATATCTGAGGGAAATGTGGATGTTTTTATCAAATTTATTCTCAATGAAACTGTTGTACTGTCACGGAAATTCCACCTAGCCTATGTTGACTGATCCAGACGGCAAATACTCCTGTGAGTGGATTGCTGCAAGACAGGCATCCTCAGATAGGTGTGAAAAATTCTGTTCTTTATCTGCATGAAAGCCACGGTTGTTCGACCTCCTTTATTGTTATGGCACATTGTGTAGAGATGAACATGTTTTGTCACCAAAGATCCTGGCCCCGCAAAAAATGTAACTTGTAACGCTAGCAGTGAGATTCAATTGATATAAACACCCTCAGAAGAGACCAATTTGGTCTGTCACTTGAGGCTTCTTTTAGTGATTGTAGTCCTGGAGGAAAAACCACTCGTCTACAGAGGTCACCTCTGCTTGTTTTCATCAGGTGACCTCACCATCCAGAGAAAAATTACGATGGGAAACGTTCGCGAAGGAAGTGTACATTCTTCAAATGTTGCCATGCTGCTCCTTTACTCACATTATTTTTGTCGCTAAGTGCCGACAGGTTCACACGCCTTAGTCATTGACCACTTCGCTCAATTTTCCACTGGTTGACGTGTGCTGAGCGCGGTATCAACTGTTTAGCCGGCTAAAACTTCTGTTCAAATGTAACGTCGGCATCGGAGACAGAAGACCATACAGGGAAATGAGGAAGTATTGAAACAAACTGTTCAGCTTTGACACCCTTTATGTGCCTAGTTGCCATGCCCCCCCCCCCGAAGGAAGCGCGATGGCTGGGATACTGTCAGGTTGCCTAAGCCTAGACAGGGGAAGTCGAGAGGCAGAGGTCGGTAAATTCGAGCTCTAACCACTTGAACCATCTCGCCTGAGGAAGTATTGAACGTTCTGTCTTATCGTTTAGTCCCAGAATCCGTTGTGCAAACGAGAAACACCTCCTGAAAAGCTACAGCTCATAAAGGCCACCTTATTATCCCTAGAGTTCCCCAGGATAAGGATGGCAGCTTTCCGCCTGACACCAGTCACTCAGTGTGTCATAATCAGCGGCCAACGAGTGAGTAGGATCGCTGTCAGTTATTAACGACGATAATGACTACACCGTCTCGAAAACCCCACATGACATAGACTAATGAACAAAACTCCCCTGATTTACATTCCTTTCGGCTATTCTACCCCCCCTATTGTTTTCTGCTCACCATCTCTTTATTAGATGGTTGCCCATTTTCCACCCCCCCCCCTATTGTTTTCTGCTCACCATCTCTTTATTAGATGGTTGCCCAGCTGACATACCTTTTACGAGCTCCCAAGTGCCTCGACTCTATATTTAGGTGACCCTGTTCACGTTCTCTTAGCTTTCAGTGTTTTTTCACACTAATGATCAGCTCACGTTTAAGCCCTATTCTATCAGATATGTTACCTTTCTGTTCTGTCACTGGAGATGGCGGAACCTATCTGTTTTGCATGTGCACTTCGCAGCTGACTTCATCATTCACCACCATCCATCACGGCGTCATACAACACTTCGCAAATTTGCCGATCCCTTTGTATATTATTCCACCAGTCCGACTCAGCCCTTTTAGAGTTCTCTTTTCTGCGGGCCACTTTTTTCCCAGAGTTCTTTTATTACAGAGGCTCATTTTATTCACACGGTTTGCTGCGAAGTGTGATATGTTTTTCTGAAAAGTTCCCGCAATATCTATTGCATAAACCTGTGATCTTTCTCTTGAAACCCTGGGATTACTTCTTAAAGGGGATTTCTTTGCTCTACCCCTTTGAGAGACGTGGGTCCGACCAGGGTCATTTTCGTTCGATCCACCAGTTACAGACTTTTTCTGTTTGAGCTCTGCTCAGGCTTTGTAGGATCATACTCATTCTATGAATGACATTTTTTATTTCTTTATTTGTTTGTTTGTTTATTTATTTGTTATTTCCGCTTTCAAGGCAACCAGTGAAATGATTAGACGTTATATTTTTGTAATGCATTACTCATAAGGTTGCTGAAAGCTCCTCGATAGCCCACGACCGGTTCTCGCCCTCCTTGGGGCTCATCAGGCAGGCACAGTCCCCAAGTTTTCATCAATCTTATGTTCTACTTGAAACCAAATTGCACGAAACTAGCGCATATACACTCATTCGCAAACTAATTCGTTTTTTCGAGAGACTCACCTAGAACCTAGCTGAATCTCGTTTGTGGTGTTTCCAGGCCACTGAATATGCTGTACCAGGCCGCCTCATGTTTCAGTCGCTACGATATTCGAGATATCGCGATACACATATATTTTTTGTAATACACTACGCACAACGTTGCTGAAAACTCCCCTTTTGTTGGTTATATTTTCTACTCGTTATGTTATGTTTCTCGTTATGTTTTCTACTCGGTGGTGAGAAGTGGGGGTTGCTTTCTTCAAGAGGTATCAAAATATTGTCCACTCAAATCCGTGTCACAGCGGTGGAAGGTCGCCCTGTTTAGGAGTTAGATGTGGTGTCTAATGTGAACTACCTGAAAATAAGCACGATAAGCTCCTTTCCGCCGTAACTCGAACAAAAATTAGCAACTACTGTCTGTTGGTTGTTTATGGGATGTTAACGCCGGCCTAAGAATTATTTTTCGCAAACTGGACACCAAGCGGAGCCCACAAACAAGTTTGTTTGTTGCGTGTAGAAACTTTACCGCGACAGTGTAACGCGTGGCCTAATTAGCGTGTGTGTGTGTGTGTGCATCTATCCATCTGTATGTCTACCTGTGTGTAGCTATTTGTCATTGAAGTTCGTTGTCCTCACAATGACCCTGATAGTTTCACTGCCTCAGTGGGTTTATTTTGATAAGGTCACTGGTGGCTTTTCCAAGCACGCATATCTGAATGACAGTGATTAATTCATACGTGCGTGTTTATTCACCCCCCTCCCACTATGCTGACTGGGACGGCAGGTGACCGCACCCGAGGTGGTGGTGC